TTTGTTTTAGTTTGTGTTACTCGTAAGTAGTCATTTCCTGTTTTATAATACATGTGACTGCATTTCTACATAATACATTTTATTTCACTGAGGAATTTGGTTTTGTGTCATCTTTTTAAAATTAAGTGTCAAACAAAAGAAATACTGTATAAATGTATTTCTTTTTTCTTCAGACTATTCCTAAGCATCATAGAAGCAGAAAAAAGACAAAAATATTTTTTGTTAAATTCATTTAAATAAAAAGAAAATTAAATTAAATATTAAGGAAAGCATACATTTTATTAAAAATTTTTGCAAACAGACCCCTGCACTTACAGCTTAAATCTAAATCCAATAAAATAAAGAAGGTAATTTTTATTTTTATTTTTATTCTTTTAGTAAATGTGCTAAAATACACTATAGATTTTTCAAAATATTAATGTCTGTTTTTTTTGGTTTTGGGGATTTTGACTTGTCGGCTCTGGATCAGACACAAGCAAGAATATCCGAAAAAAATTTGCAATTAAAGAGAGTGGGGAAAAAAACAATCCAATAGGACAAAAAGATTAAATAACAGATTTTTATCTCCTCCTACAGAGCTTAAACTTATAGTCTGTAGCATGTGAATGTGTTTACATTGCAGATCCAGTTTCATTGCCTCCTCTGTGTGAAACTAGGACTCGGTACATTAAGGAGAAAAAGTGCGATTTCAGTTACTTAATACCATCCCATAGAGGAAAAAGAGACAGTCTGTAGAAAACATATTAGCTTTTAGCGTAACAAACTAAGTTCCTTTATTTCCTCTGAGTCAAACTTTTAAGGAAACAAAAGGATGGCGTCTGTTTAGCGGGAGCTGCGGCTTGAATATTTCAGGTTATGGATGAACTGTCGAGTGTCTGACAAGACCCACTATATAAACTTTGAACACAGGCTCTCCGGGAGACATCGATAGTTGTAAATATTTAATTCAGTGCCTCTGACAATGCATGCCACTGAAACAAATCTTTACCAGATTGAATTCAAGATAAATAGCACGGAAATATCACCAAAGCTGATACACAGATTTTCATGCTGTCGTGTTATCAGGGTGGCCTTGTTGGGGGTTTCTGTTCCACAGATCACGTGTTCGTTTATCCAACGTGTCAGCACTTCTTAGGCCGCACCTCAAGTGTTTGTCGCATAATATGCATTCACATATAAATTAGATAACAGTGCTTAATCTGTTGTGTAGTATTTTATTAAAGTCATAAAGTAGTATTTCTAATTATCAATGCAGCGGTTAAATATCAATAGAATTAAATAAATGCTGCAATATCTTAGCAATGGGCCCCTGGGCAAAGACATGTAAAAGACCACACAGGAGTAAGACACACACTGTCTTTCACCAGAGTGTTGAAGGTGAACCTGAACCCTCAGGTGCTGCTGTTGGTTTAAAAACTGCAGCTGAACTTCAGTATGTAGCTCACACCACAGATGAAGAGCGCTTCCTGCCACAGCACGTTCACTACAACTCTCATACTTAGCCTTCAAAAAGAGCCTGAGATGCAGGTTCTATTCCTTTACTACTTTTACTGTTTTTGATGAAATGTTAATGTAGCCTCGATATGCTGTGCAGCTGTAAGATGAAAGGAAAGTAAACAAAAACCTGCACTGTGAAACACTGGAAGCTGGTTTAACGTATAAAAAACTTCCCTGCTGCCTAAAACTAAATTTTAATCAATAGTTCAAAGACTTCCAATTCGTTGTGAGAATGTGAACCAGTTAAGCTCACTTAACTTGAATAAAATAAGGTCACACAGTACATATTTTTCCTCTTACCTGTAGTGCTGTTTGTCAGTCTAGATTGTTTTAGTGTGACTTGTCAAGAGTTGGAGATATCGGCCGTAGAGATGTCTGCCTTCTCTTGATATAATGGAGCTAGTTGACACTTGGCTTGTGGTGCTCAAAGTGGAAATAAAATAAAATAAATTGAAAAAATTGGAAAAAAAAGTAAAGGAAAATAAAAGGGAAAATGAAATAAAAAGACATAAAATAAAAATAAAATAAAATTTAATTAAAAACTCAACAGCAAAGTCTCTTACCAGAAATCATGACCTGGTTACTCAAGATAATCCACACACCTTGTTGTGAGCAGTTTCATGTAGGAACTTTTTTCTACTTAGACAGGAAGGTGCCGTAGTATTGTTCCGACCTCTCATTAGTCCGACGTCCCGTTGTTCCGATATGTGATTATACTAGGCTATACTGTATTTGTGTACCATAGAGGATCAGCAACGCAACGAAAGTAGGCTACTGGTTGAGATACAAGTGCCATAGAGAGGAGAGAATGAAACACCACAATCTCCTGTTATTAAAGGATAACTTCAGTATTTTTCAACCTGGGCTCTATTTCCCCATGTGTATGTGTGCATATGATTCATGGGTACCACTCGTTCTAAAATTGGTTCAGTATTGAGCCGCGAAACGAGCTAAAACGGTAATGGGGGCAAATGCGTCCCGTATAAAAGTGCTTGTTTTCAACACTGACTGGTTCAGATCGCCAGTGTTATCTCTGTAAATAGCATATTGTAGCGGCCCTGGGGCAGTGGTGAGTGTGAATGAGTGGAGTCAGCTGTCAGTCAGTGTTGGAGCAGAAAGGCGGAAGAAGTCCCCGCTAGGTATTGTAAATGAGTATGTGTGTGTGAAGTGTGTGTTACGCTAGAAGAGTCAGAGGACGAAGTCTTTTACGTGCTACCCCCTGGAGTGTTACCGGAGTTTTTGGAGTGCTCAAATAAACGGGCCTTTTTCCTGAACGCAAGAACAGGATGTTGCGCAACACCCCGTACAGCTTTCACAGGCTGCCTTTGTCGGACGGCGAGATGCTGAAGTTGTGGCTAGTTGTTCTACAAATGGATGCTAACACTCCTGTCCAGACACTGCGCCTTGCAGACCATCAGGTCTGCAGTGCTCACTTCTCCCAAGATGACTACTGCCAGCCGAAGAAGAGAAGACATCCAATCCCGAAACACCTCTTCCTCAAGAAAACGGCTGTCCCACGAGTAGAGAGAGCTACAGACACAGTGGAGCAAAGCTCATGACATCACACAGCCCAGAGGTAAGGGAAAGGCTAAGTTAGCATGCTAGTTGCAGAGATAACACTGGCGATCTGAACCGGTCAGTGTGCGAAAAAACACACACTTCACACACACATACTCATTTACAATACCAAGCGGGGATGCCCTCCGCCTCTCTGCTCCAACACTGACTGACAGCTGACTCCACTCATTCACACTCACCACTGCCCCAGGGCCGCAACCATATGATATTTACAGAGATAACACTGGTGATCTGAACCAGTCAGTGGTGAAAAAAAGCACTTTTATACGGGACGCATTTGCCCCCATTACCGTTTTAGCTCGTTTCGCGGCTCAATACTGAACCAATTTTAGAACGAGTGGTACCCATGAATCATACGCACACATACACATGGGGAAATAGAGCCCAGGTTGAAAAATACCAAAGTTGTCCTTTAACTCGGGGGTGGGGTTGTGTGGGGAGCTCTCCGCGGTGCTGAATGGCTCCCGGCGGGCGTTGATGGTGCGCCACGACCAGCTCTGGGTCACCTGGGAAAGGCTTGAGGCAAAGCAGGCTCACGGCTTATGTGTTTGCCACTTTCTTTTTCATTTTAACCCACACCATGATCTTTTCCTGACCCTAACCAAGTGGTTTTTGTGCCTAAACCTAACCAGACCTTAACCAGAGGGCATCATGATGATTTCGGAACAACGGGACTTCGGAACAATGAGTTTAATATGGTCGGAACAATGGGATGTCGGAACAATGGGCTGTCGGACCAATGGGCAGACCCCGACAGGAAGCATGCATCAACTTATGGACAAAAGGCTTGTGCTCGTGACAGCATGAGATGTGAATATTTATTGCGTCCTCCCTGTCTGAGCTGTAACGTTAGCTAGCTCAGTGGTGCTAGGTGAGCTAGCAGTAGAGGCACGCTTCCTTCTGCACAGTTGGGTTAGCTTGCGGTGCTCGTAGCGCCAAAACTCAACATCAGTGTCTCTTTCCAGACACCATGACGGGATGTAGGGACTAGTTTCTTCTATTGAACTATACCTGCCAACTGTATCCATGCGCAGAAGGACGTGTGCATCTACTGCTAGCTCACCTAGCATCACTGAGCTAGCTAACGTTACAGCTCCACTGAGGAGGACGCCATTGATGTTCACATCTTGTGCTGTCATGAGCTTTTCCTCCATGAGTAGATGCACGTTTCCTTCTGTGTGGTGATGCAGTGAGCAGGTGTAGTTTGGAAGAAAGACAGATAGTTCCTACATGAAACTGCTCACAACAAGGCTTATCTTGAGTAACTAGGTAATGATATCTGGAAAGAGACACTGCTGTATTTTGCCACCTAGTTCCATTATATTCAAGAGAAGGCAGACATCTCTATGGTCGATATCTCCAACACTCTGCAACTCACATCAAAACAATCTAGACTGATAAACAGCACTACCTGTAAGGAAAACTATGTGTTTTTGATTTTGGGCTGAACTGTCCCTTTAAGTTGAATCAACAACTGATTACCCAAAATGAAAAATGTTACAGTTGGGTTAATTTTCCACTGAAATTTTCTCAGTTTGTCATTTGAAGAACTGAATAATTAGGCTGCTACTGTACTGACCTTACATGAAGCTGCCTCCACAGACCTTGTTAAAGAAAAGGAGTTTCAAGAAGGGTTTATTCACTGCTAATTTACTGTGCTCAAACTGAATCACTCCCATAGGTTACTCACTGTCTGCAGGTTCATTGGCACCAAAATTTCATGGTTCTTTCAAGGAAATGTCTTGGAAATGGTTTTGAAATTAAAGTGTTAGACAAATGTTTGTATTGGATTTGGTTGGCAGATACTCTAAGAACGATCAGAACATCTCTCCTTCCATCTACGATCGTATAGTGTTAAAAATAAAGAGTCAAAGATTCACATCTCAGTTCAACAACTACTTGCGATCAACACACGATCAACACCGTTTAATTTTTAAACTTTTATTCACTTAAATTCTCAAGTGTTAAAGCAAGAACAAAACATTTATAATGTCCTTTGGTGGGATTTTATTACACTTTATTAATACTGTATATGTAAACTGATATTCTTTGATGCCAGCACGTTGCCAATACAAAGGAAAATCAACTGCACAACTAAAAGTAATATTAACAAATAAAAGTAAGTGAGTGAAAGAAATGGAACTCAAAAGAAAAGGAAACCATAAACCATTGCTTCTGCGTTTGGATGTTTTAAATAGATACATTAAAGGTTGCCTTTTTTCAATCACAGTTCGGCAAAGATACAAAAGGACTACATGACTCTTTTTTTGTTTTGCTCTGTCGAGAAAAGAACTTGCAAATACACCAATGTTTTTCTATGCACCTCTCGTCTGCTCGGGTGAAAACTATCCTCGGACCATGATCGTAGGGAGCGTGGCGGCTCTAAAATAGAAACAGAATCAGACAGCTTTATTGGAGTATCTTTTTGCAAGAGGGGAAAGGAGGAGGGGAGAGGCTTCTTACACATGTGCATCACTAACATCGGACAAAAGAATCTTTCAACCAACAAGGGTTTACAGAGTAACGTTCACGAAAGCACAGGTCTGTGGCAGCATGGCGTCAGGGGTTTGGGATCGGAGGGAGGAAAGGGAGGGAGGATGAACAGGAGGGAGGATGAGAGAGAGCTCGAAGGAGAGACAGAAAGCTAGAGAGGGATCGACGTGGGCGAGGTTTTTGTGTCACAAAGTGGCAGTCCGGACAGATTTCCTTCTATCCACAATGCACTGACAGCAAAGAATGCTTCCTGTGTGTTCTCCTCTTTGTGTTTGTCGCTGTGTTGAAGTATAACGGTTATGATTCAGAGGCCAGTCAGTCAGCCATTCAGCAGGGACAGTTTCTTTGAGATTTCTTCGGCGTCAGTCCAGCCAACATTAACTCGCAGAAGCGTCCCGGGGGGATCGGCGGCCACTGCCGGCTCGTTCGAGAGCTGATTGGTCGCAGCTGTTGTTGCCGTGGCAATAAGGGAGGAAGTGAACGAGTCTGTCATCTTCAGTTATCCCTTCTCAAAACTGGAAGGAGCTCAAGTACCTGGTATGGCTTAGAAGGGGAGGGGGTCTCAATGTTCTCTGCACATTTTACTCTTATTAGGCAAACGCTCTTTTTTTTAATAATATCTGGCATTTTTAGAAGTATATGTTTTTTCATTTCTATATATTCTTTGAAATTAAATGAAAAGTTTTTGCACTCTTTGTCTGGCACATTCCCTTTATTGTCAGCGCGAGTGTCCATTGAGTCTGGCGGCGGAGAAGCTCAGAACAGTACAGTCCAGAAAGCTCATGGTTGTTCTTGTTTAATGGTTTTTGATTATCTGAAAGGGGGAATGGGAAGGTTTAAGGTGGAGGCGGCGGCGAGTGTATCACTCCCCCCAGGTCATGGGTCTCTTTAGAGCACGGCGGGCCAGCAGGAGGCCTCTCTCAGCAGTGCCGAGCCCAGCAGCAGCAGCAGCAGCAGCAGCCTGGGGGATGATGGAGGCGTCAGGGGGGCCTGGCCCGAGTCTGGGCCCCCACAGCCCCCCAGCTCTGACTCGCAGCGGGGCTTCTCGCACTGCAGGCCTGAGAAGTCTGAGGGACAGCTGCAGCGGACGTTGTTGATACACACCCCGCCATTTTGGCAGCGCAGGAGCTCGTTGTCACACACCCGGGCTGCGGTGGGAGCAATGTAAAGACAGGAGAGAGGGGTGAGAATCAAACAGGCAAGAGGTTTCTGGGTGACACTTTACTTGAAGCAGAATGTGATACATCAAAGCTTTATCATAACAGCGCCTGTTATCATATAAAATGTCAGATTATTAAATGATCTACTCAGGTGCCCCGTTACGACACCATGAAACTTCAGTGATCCCTGCAGGGAGAGGAGGAATTCTCTCATGTTTTGTTGTAACAAATCAAAAACTCACATTTTTTGTCTTCAAGTAATGTGTTACCACATTTTATTCCATGTTGAATTTGGCTGAACTTTTACAATAACAGTTTGACATTTTGAAAAATAGATTGAGTTAATTTCTTCCCACAAGTTAGATGAGAGTACGTGTATGATAAATATGAAGCTAGAGACAGCAGCCAGTTAGCTTAGCTCTTTTGTTTAATGCGTACAAAATCTTAAGTTACAAGACGCAATTTCGCTGTTTTACGAGGGTTTTTTGTGCCAGTATCTTCCTGGATTCTCTGCTGGTTGCTTGGTAACTTCTCCTAGCCGAGTAAAAATCACAAATGGGCACAAAACCCCCCGTGAAATAGCATATTGTCTTCAGCTTCATATTTACTGTACAGATGTAAGAGTGCTATCAATATTCTCATTTTACTCTCTGCAAAAAGGCTAATTAGCAGATTTCCCATAATGTCGAACTATTGCTTCAACATTTCATAATGCAAAATACTGGAAAATACTTGCAAAACAATCCCTAATACATATAGTAGGTTACATGGATATAACATATATAAAATTCTTTAAGGTAAACTCTGCAGTGCATGCATCCTAAATACATCAGGTTAAATTTGACACTATATATAACACCATAGAACTATAAGGTTAGTAATGTTGGTATAAATTTGTGGGTAAAAGAACACACGTTAAAGCCCCCATGTGTAGAATTAAAAAATTTCAACCTTTCAACCTCCCTGTGGAAGAATCCAATAATTACCTCTTTGACTTTTATAATGAAAAACTTGCGTCGTCTCAAAATTTTTTAAGATGGCGTCACACCAAGTATTCTAATTAAACTGATTAAAGGTGATGACAAACCTATATTTACTTATATAAATATAATTTAAATTTCTAAAGATTGCAGATTTTTACCTCCATTTGAAAAAACATTTTCACATCCTCCTGTAATAATATGACATGCAATCAAACATTATTATACCTTTAAAAGTTACAAAAAAAATGATCATGTTTTTGTAATGTAAACGTAATTATTCTGCCTGTAATGAGAGCAAATTCCCTTTTTATCGTTTCAATTTCTTCAGTACCAGAGCTGATTAAAGCCCCGTCCATCCAGTGATGTTTCAGCACAGAAATCCTCAAAGCTTGACAGGCTTTCCCCCGAACAGCAGTGTCTTTAGACAAACTGAACGTCAGGTGAAAATTGGTGTATATTTAGAGCTGGGACACCGAGGCCACTCTATTCCCAGTGGAGGCAAGCTGTCAAGCAAGCTGGAGGCAAACAAAGCAGCGCCGTACAAACTAATAAACCAACAGAGACAAATAAACAGTGATAAACACAGGGGCCACTTCTGCCCATTTCAGTCCTTTATGGGAGTGGAAAACAATGTGGTGAGCAATCTATGAACTCTATGGGACGTAAATATCACAATAACAAATATCAGGCCTCTCTCCTAATACTCAGGATTGGATGCATGCTGTCTCCCAGGAATAGCCAAATAGGGCTTTTATGGGAGGCTTGTTAAGAAACATTGACTCCGTGAATCCTATTTGTACCACGTCTGTTTTGTAGGAGAAAAGGGAGCCGCTGTTGGGCTCAGTAAGTTTTGCTTCAGGCCACAGCTCACCAATTACCATGCACAACTAGATCCAAATAAGACACCTGAACTCTATCTTAGTCCTTTTTTTCTCCAACTGACATATCAATTTCATGACCAATTCAACCACTCAGCAGCGACTGAAGTAATGAGTCAATTTATAAAACTGCAACCACTGTTTGTTTCCCTGGAAAGCCACTGCTCACTTGGCTTTCTCCTCATGATCAGACAGCTGAACTTGGTCATAAAAAACTCTCCTTCAAGATGACAAGGAAGAGCAATGTATTAATTAAAGAATCATGTTTTTCCCTGAGAGGCCTTGATATGATCAGAACATGAGAGAGTCTACTTTAATTAGACAATGACCTTTCATCTTATCCATCTTATCCTTCTTTGCTTTCATGATAAAATACTAACAGGCTGTGTATTTGTAAAGGTATTCAAAGTGGTTTGTGTCACGTCTGTGCTCTACATGTATCATAAAAAACTTAAAATGATGTGCTAGACATAACTGCTTCAGCACACCTTTTCAAAGTAAAACCATCCCAAGGTCATCCATGTGCAACAGGCTACATGATGAGGGACCTGAGAGCTATGATGAGACGAAGCTAGTCTGAAAAGAGGTTTGAAATGATGGCAATTTTACAGCCTTTTACTGCACCTAAAGGAGATGTGACACAAAACAAGCTTTGTGGCGACAGCATGTTATTTGAATTGCACTATATTTGATTCTCACTGTACTTAGGACGGCATTTCCTACTTGGAAGACGATGCAACGCTGACTTGCTTACAGAGGTCCACAAGAGCTTGAAGAGCAGCTTGGTTGAACTGTGTACTTTTTATCTGAAATCTACTTTTATTAGTCTTTAACAACTAAATTCACCTAATGCTAGGTTGAGCTGGCAGCCAACAAGGAAACTATAAAAGAAGAATGCGTCACTGTGTAACGCGTAAATGCACTTTGGGGCCAATCTCTCTTTTTTCCTAACAGCAGGTAGTGTTGTACATGTATTTGATTATCAATATCTAATTAACCGTAGAACAGTTAATGAAATGAAAATATTCAGAAGGGCTTAAATTTAGTCAGCTCTCTAGATAATGTTTCCTGTTATTGTCAGGAGGGTTGGGCACCAAACTTTTAGGGTTCCAATTACAAGTAGTACAGTACAGATGAGTACAAAGCGCCCCACAGCCTTGACCCTTGGAGCTCTGAGGCCGGTAAATGAGCTCTGTGGAGCCACAGGGTTCAACTTTGGACAGGAGGCGGAAGCGCCCCAAATCCGAGGCCAACAAGGAAGATTTGCGGCTGCAATACTTTCGGCATCTGTTTTCTTCCATATTATTTCAAATGTGAACAGTACCCACCAGGTGCCACTAGTTGCCTAACTTTAGGGTAAATGGTTAGAATGTGAATCGCCTAGTTCACCAAGACCTTGTCTCCTTGGTGCCAAATTTAAATAAAATTGTATTCAGAATATTGAAAAGTTGCCCTATAACCTGTGCTCGGATGATTCTAAGGTGTGGAAGGAGCCTCAAACTCCTACACTGAATATGTGGATAGTTCAAATGATGGAAACTGTGAGAAATGCATCAAAGACAAAGAGAATGTATCAGGTGTGCTGACATACTTTTTGGCGGAAATGGGATGTGTTCGAGGCGTGGTATTTGTTCTGGGACCTAGTTTATAAAACTACATTTCTCATTCACCAGTACTTGTTACGTTGTTCGTCAGTGAACTTAGTTAGTATTTGCACTTTGTTTAACTAATGTTAGCCAGCAATATCTTTAATGAAACATCCTACACTTACTTGGAGATAAAAACTGTTAACGCTAGTAAGAAATAATCTTTCGGCTTCAAGCTAATGTGTTGTAAGTAAAAGTAATTGTCACAGCCTGTCTAACTTAATTGATGTTACGATTTATGTGTGGTACAGGCCACCACGAACTGTGTTGGGCTTTGAAGCCAATTTTCGTAGTGGCCAAACAGTGGATAATACATCCGCTGTGTGATGCCATGTGGCCCAAAAAGTCTTGGTCCCTCAGACCTACATGGCAAAAGAATCTATCAGAATTTAATCCATTCAGTCTGATAACATTTGGAAAGTCTAGAAGAGGCGCACAATTCTAACAGTTCATCCCCATTCAAGTTACCGGAGTGCTAATCCAGAAGTAGCCAGCTTGGCCAGCAGAGGTCTAATCCCCCTGCTCTGTGGGCCACACAGCGTAGAAGCAGTTCTGATCGTCCGGGTAATTTATACGTTGCCCTGCCTCTAACTTTGTATCCAGTTCTCTTTCCTCCAGTTCAATTATCCATATGGGCTAGATGACTAGTACGGATGTAAATTACTAATGCCAACTGAAAGAAATTGTAGCACACGGTCAAGTCCTAGCTTGGCTTCAGGGTCTGAAAGGCCATAACATTGCGAAGATTTAGATAGTAAACATTATGTAATGTCTTTTTTTTTTAATTTAGTGGAAGCATTTTTCAGTCAGAGGTAAAACACCACAGATATGAAGGATTATAGTGGGACCTGCCATGCCTGCCCCATTAACGTCAATAGAAGTGGCACCGATGCTATATTCAAACGTGTCACCATGATGTAATGACCCTTTCTTCTTTTATAGTTTTCTTGGTGATCAGAAAACAATGTAAATACAAATGAATTCAGTTGAGTCAGCTTAGCAATAAATGTTTGCTACCAAATGTGGAATAGCTGACTGCTAATAGCTATCTTCAGCACACGGATTCTCTCCTCAGGTTGCATTTAGCCTCAATTCAGAACTGGTTCACTGTCTTCCAGAAAGTAGGCTAAGCCCAAAAACAGCAACATATGAAGTGGACAAAATGGCTTATTTCTTTTAGAAGTGGAAACGCAGAGAGATAGTTTTAAGGCATGGGTCCTTCAGAAATGAAAATGTTTTCTAAGGACTTTCAATGAGGGGAAGTTGCCCCTTGTCTGCTTTCATTGCTGCGTATTATGTTTACATGTACATATTGAGTGTGATTTTTTTATTTTTAAGGTAAACTACTACTTTAAATATTAATTATGCATGATGCTCAACACTGCATGTCACGTTCAGCTGACTTCAAAGTAAAGTTCGGGTAATGGCTGACCCCTGCAGGCAAAGCATTTCATTGGCTGCCAATTAAGCGATGCTAAAGT